TTCCGCTTTTAGGTAGAATCGCGCTTTTGACTGCATTGGTTTTAACCATGAATCGATGCTTGTATCATTGGTGATGTCCTATTATTCTCCTATGTCTAGCTAAGCTCAACTTTGTTTATGAATGTGAATTTTATGATATTCATGTATCTTCTATGATTTAATGAAATGTGTATGTTATTCAACGCGTATAAATCTATTATATACTACTATAGTCTATCATTTAGAATATAATCTAGGAAGTGAGGAAACTACGATCATATGATATCCTATTGTCTTGTGTATGCTTGTTTAGTTGGGTGAAGTGAAACTATGCATGTAGACATGAGATCAATGCTTGATTGTTAGATTATCGATGCTATGGCCCCTCTAGCGATACGGTTGCCGACTACTTCTTACTCGCTCGCGCACATAGCCTCTCTCATGACAGCCGACATGGCATGTGCTTCTCGAGACTTAATATTTTTCCTTCTTTGATATGTTGCTCAAGGACTACGGTTTATTATTCTCATGTCATTGCATGGCCTCCACGAGAGGGTCATATCACTTTTGACTCATGTGTATGCTATGCTCGTAAAGGACTTAGTGGTTTGGGATAAAAAAATCAAAATCTTTGAGGCTCAGCTAAATAACATTAATGGTTATAATTAATCTGACATTATAAGAGCATTAACTACTTTGAAAATCATCTATATTGATACTAGATTTGGGCCCGACCCGATGGTCGGGTTCATTTGGTCAGCAAAATAAACAATCATTACTATTGTAGGAAGTATGCCACATTTTTATTGGGTCATAAAAAAATTATATTATTTAATTACAAAAGTATCAAAATAAATATACATCATAAATTAATCTGCATCCTAACCGAGAGGAATTTTACAATGCAATATCGCATTGGTGCTATAAGATTTTTGCTTTTATGGTACAATTTGAAATTGTACTTTCAACATTATAGTACAATTTTAAATTGTACCTATAATTTTTGTACAAATTCTTTTATCGTACAACTTAAACTTGTATATTTATGTGATGATAAAACATCAAGTTGTGGAGTTTTACCATAACATAATGGTACAAATTCATTTATGGTACAATCTGAACTTATACATTCAATGTTATGGTACAACTTTAAGTTGTACATTAAAGCACTGATGCTTTATAGTATAATAAAAGTGCTCCTGAACCGATGATCATCCAGACCCTTACCAAAATTAAAGAAAGATATATGCAAGGGAACCAACATTTAAAAATCTTACCAAATTGCAGTTTGATTTACCCCTTGATATCAAACTGAACATAATTTTTTGGGACTTCTTTGAGATTGCTTCTCCATCAACATCTTCATATCCGCTAAATATGCCTTCACGAATCACGATCATCTCAGTCATTGAAACATTATCTCTACCATCAAATAATCTCATCCTTCTTCTTAACATCATCATGACATTATCTTCATTATATTATTTTGGTGAATGAATAATTAGTGTTAAATTTGATGTTATTTATTATTCTCATATATGGATTCATTTAGAAGGGAAGTCGTAAGATTAGTTGTGCGGATGTGTGTTTTGTGAGTTCTGAGGGGCGGCAAAGTCAATGGCCTAGTAGTATAAGATTTTGGGTGGCTTATTATATCTATTTATACTTTATTCGTTCATTTAGATTATTAAACAACGAACAAAAGATTTACCTAATCAATTATCTCAAACATTTCTTTGTTCTTCCTCTCTAATTAATCCTGTTAATTTTGTTACTCCATACCCTAATTTTGTTGTACATCTCCTTGGATTTCTACCCGTTCTCTTATGGCAACTTAAATTATATAGTCTCAATTATTTATTGTCTCATAGTTTATTTATTTCCCTCATTTTGTCTGATTATCCTCTAATTATATCTTTATGTTAATTACTTATGGATACCAAGATCATCTCTCATCAATTGTTGTCGTAGTCTAGTTAACATAGCACCCAACACCATCATTTACATCATTGCACCCTGTATATTGATTGCCTTCAACGAATTAGTGAAATTTATTGGTCCATTATAGCCTCCTAGGCCACGTGGGATTTATTACTACTATTATTATTGTCTTTCGTATTAGAATATCATGGTATTATTATGATTATTCATATTAGTTTATTGTGTCTTGTTGAGGAAGTTATTATTTAATTGTTGGGTTAGAAATAACTTACCTTATTCGAGAGGGAAAGGGTTTGTGAGAGAGTCCTATAAATATGTACCGTAGTTCTTTGGTTTGCGTACATCAATGAATAATAATCCAGTTTAGTAGAATTCATTGTAGTTTTAGGAGTAGAGGTAATGTAGATAATTGTTCTCTCGTTGCATTGAAGTTATAATTCGTAGTAGTTTTAGGAGTAGAGGTAATGTAAATAATCGTTCTCTCGTGGCATTGAAGTTATAATTCGTAGTAGTTTTAGGAGTAGAGGTAATTTAGATAATCGTTCTCTCGTTGCATTGAAGTTATAATGCGCCATTTATTTGAAAGGTTTGGCGGATATTTCAGTATCAAAGAAGCAGCAAGTATGATCAAGAAGGATGAAGCAACTACTTTTTGGTTGTTGGCAGCGTCAATTGAGAATTTTTCGTTCATATTGTGCAGTTAGAACCTTTATTTTGTCGCATTGAATTAATTGCAGGAGTTACGATTAAATTGGAAGTATAGGAAGAAGTATAGGAAGAAGTTATAATAATTCATGTCGATTCTTGATGAAAATAATCTTTCAGAGGCGATATATTGATGAACTATTATTTATTATTATTACTATCCAGGTAAGAATGTTTTCCACCAATTTCTTTTATATTTTTAGCCATCCAAGTCATATTGCCTCCAAACCCTAATTCTTTATTAGATAACCCAGAATTTTTATAAATTTTATTCAAATTGCTCTCAGTGCTCTTAGTCTCTATCTAGTCTGCGTTACTCCTTATTCCGTTGTTTATTTCTCTCCTTAATTTCGGACAATTCTCCTTTAATTGTATCTTTCTACTAATCAAGCTCGGGTGCCAAAATCATCACCCTCATCATACCCATTATACCTCCAACATTCTTGAAGAATTATTATTTTCTTATAACCATTGGAGCATGAATTTTAGTAAGCCTTTTATTAATACCTCAAATTACTTTGGCTTTCCACCCATGAAGTAGTAGCGAGACAACTGTAAAATAAAACAGCCAAGAATGAAAAGACATAATAGTCCATCCGTGATGTGCGCAGAGCTCAGCAAAAATTGAATTGGGCGAGTGCGATGGGGAACCTCCTTATCTAATTTGTAGGACAATATAATTTTGAGTGGTAAATAAATACTTGTGCCATCACTAGTCACGGTATTTTCCGGGGTTAATTAGAAACCACCAATCACAGTATCTTCCTTTTACTCAATACAAATATAAATCACTAATCGTATAGGTGGCGCCAGGATTAGGCTTTCGGGGAGGCCGGAATTTTTCTTTTGTTACTTCAAAACGGTGATAATATTAAGTAAAAAATATTTTAAATATTATTATAACAAAATTTTTTAATTATTAAAATAACTCAAGGTAGTCTTTAAAATTGAAATTCGAAGAATTTAATTCTAAATTTTAGTTCCAGATATTTTTTATTATGTTACTTTGAAACAACGATAAATTAAGGAAAAATATTTTTAATATTATTTTAACAACATATTTTTCTTATTAGAGTAACTCAAAAGTAGTCTTTAAAATTGAATTTGAACAATTTAATCAAATTTTATAGTACCAGATTTAAGAAACCAAAATATACAAGTTGAGAACTTATGAAAGTCAAAAGCACTAATTATTCAGCCATATAAAACTTAATTTTGAAACTACAAAACTGAAATCATATTGAAATTAACGGTAATAAAAGAACCATAAGATGAGAACTTCATGAGAAGTTACTCAAACTGATAAGAAAAAGTAAAATGCCATCTGCAAGCACTTATGAAAATTCAAAAGAAAAATTGCAATACCAGCTGCATGCGGTGAGTTTCAAACTCTAAAGTCCGAACCTGAAGGACTAATTAATTATCTGATTCCATCTTGGTTCAACCATGATTGACAATTTTTTCAATGAAAATTTTAACACAATGGCATGTTTGATAATTTTTCCAAAGTATAGGAGCAAGTTTGATGTAAAAAATAGTATAGGGGCATGTTTGATAAAACGACATAGTAGAGGGGTATTTTATACCTATAACCCAATATTTTTATAATGCTCTATATTATGCTAAATTTTCAAATACCGACATTTTTTATGTAACTCTGAAAATTTTCGGGCACCGTACCTAACAGCCTGTTTGGATACAATTCCATAAGAAATGGAAATGGATTTCCATTCCCAATTCTAACTTTTATGGGGATACCAAATCACACCATGTTTCTTGATGCTGTAAAGGCTAAATTACACATTTGAAAATGACAAAAGGTAAAAAAATTATATATCTTGCAATTAATATATCTTGTAATGATGATAAAGACAAAAGAACGTTACATTAAATGAAAGTCTCCTCGGAAAAATGTCAGAAAGTCTAAACTATTTTATAGGATTCGGTTTGCCGGTCTCTTAGAGTATATGTGTACGAGCGAGAGAATGTTTACAGTAAAGAACCATTGTTTTCGATGAGATCCTTGAAGAGGAGCAGTGGGATGAGCCTTCAGGCAATCGCATTCTCCTGCTGATGCATTGTCTTTTCTGCATAGGTCGATGAGTCTTTGAAGACAGTTTTGTGGACGCAATATTCATTTTCTTTGGACGCAGTGCATGAATTGTTTTCTTCTTTGTTTTTCTTTTAGCAGGCGTGTGGGGACATAAAAAGGATCGATCGAGGGAGTAACAAGAGCTATAAAAGGAGTGGGTAGGCAATACAAATTTCTCACCCTAAACACACCATACCAAAACAGCTATTAGGGTCACTTGGGAGGAGGAGAGTGTACATAAAGAGCTGAAACAGTGAGAAATAGAGAGTGAATCAAAGAAAAAATGGATTCCGGGTCGAAATTGGCGATGGCAGCGTTTCTGCTTCTGGCTACGTTGAGCTTCGGTGTTGACGCAAGACTTCCGGTGAAGAGCATTGTCAGGGGACCGGACTGCGTTGGCACATCAGAAGATAAAGTATACAACACCAGAGTGGGACGTCTCGTCGACATTCTGGTGGACGAGACCAAAAATGTGAAAAAGGAGAATTACAACGATTATAGTTACGTTCACAGTTACCCCAACCGTGATGCTGGCTCTGTCATTGGCGGCGCCACTTGCGATAGGCAGCTTTGGAAACTGGATTGTTGGTCGTGTCTGGTCACTGCCAAGAACAAACTAAAAGACAATTGCGGCCACACCCATGATGCTAGGATCGAACTCGCGGATTGCTCTATTTGGTACAAAATGATTAACTGACTTCACTCTGTATTATATGTATGTAAATGTGCACCTCTACCTCCCTCTTGTTCTTCAAACTGATCTTGTAGCTTTGTATTTTTCCTCGTAATTTCCTCATATTTTTCTTTTATTGTTGTTGTTATTGGTCGTGTTTAGGGTCTAACGTCTGTTGATGTCCGCTTCCAATAGCAGTCAAGAGCGAAAACTACAAATACTTGTCTATGTTGCATATTTGTCCTTCAAATTAATATATATAAATCTAAATACTAACTACTGTTTACTAAGACAGTTTATGTGTTCTCATGTAGTTGTGTTGGGCTGTAGTTTGGTGATTTGGGCTTCTCTATTTGGAGTTCTATTTGTTTGTAGGCTATTTTTGCGGTGGACTTTGACAGTTTATCTTCTCTGCCCTTCTCTCTTGATTTGAGAATAGAAGTCTTACATATGATAGAAATAGAGTGAGAAAGAGAGAATGGAAGTCTTAGACGAAAACTTTTCAAACCTCCACAAACTGAGTTGGATGTTTTGATTTGAGAAAGGAACATTGAGATAAATTTAAGATATCATGTATTCTTACTGAGATAAATTTATATAGATTTCAAATTAACTTTATTATGGAGCATGACATTATACCATGATTGTTAATGAGTGAGCTTTAGATTCTAATTATCTAAAATATATATTCTAAGATGGTGTATAAGTTTGTTGTATGTATTTTGATGAATCATAACTGCCGATTGTTGTTTCTAACTAAATTGGTATTAATGCATAAATTTAGAAATTAAAATTTAGATTCTAATTTTTAAGGGTTATGATATAGTACCAGTTTCTAATATCCGGTCAAATAAAGACCTGATACCATTTTCTTATTCAAAGTATGCGGTATGTTCCTCCAGATTTACCTTGAATACCATAGTACTTATTAAATATGATTTGTATTGATTAAAAACCCAGATATGAATAATTAGCGAGTTAACCTATTATCTATAAAAACGTTCACACTTTAAATTATGTGGCAAACCCCATACAATACCATTACTCTCATCTCACCCGCAACTTCGCGCGGGTTTTTTCTGTAGTATATGTGACTCGCACGAAACTACACCACAATTAAACTCTAATTAGCTAGAGACCAAGTATTTAAACTCTAATCGGGTGCAGTATAGGGCAAGTATTTAAATATCGACCAGGGTCGGTCCGTCTATCCCTACTTCCATTGTTGAAATCATTATCTAGCAACTAAACTTTGGTTTTAAAGGTTTACTAATTGAAGTAAAAGAAAACAAAGGTGATTGGGTTTGAAAACTCTTTTGTGGGGAAGTCACTCGGATTTCGCTTCCCCCTAACCACTACCATGCTATGTGGATTGGAACGATTGCCTTGGGCACCTTAATCGTGAACCGCAGAGGAATGCATATGTGGTCGGAGACCACTGTCTCAATTGCTAAACCGAGGTGAGGATGAAAGGTCGTGTCACTCGACCCTCTCGGTTTAGACAATCGGTAATTGACTTACTCCCTCACTCAACTCTAAGGTCGGACGGTTTAACCACAATTAATCGACTTGTTTAATTCAATATTGAGGGTTTCCCAAACTCAACCTAGTTTAGGTGTCTTAGAAAGTGGAAGGAAAACCAACTCGATTGAGACTCCCTTGAAAGGGGAATTTTCCTCTCTAAACTAGGCTAAGATGACAAATTAGATTACTAGCACCTAAATGCACAAACTTAGGGGGTGCTAAGCACAATTATTCACAATCCCTAGGATGCTAAGCACAAAACATGCACAACCCCTAAGTTGCTAAGCACAAGCATGCACAATCATGGTGAATAATGTCTCAAACATTGAATTGAACAATACCCAATAACAATCATCCAACCCACATACAAGAAAACTACATGGTAGAGTTATGGTTTCACTACACCCAAGGGAAAGGAGGTCTACTCCATAGTAGAAGTGGGAAGAACAAAAGGGAAAAGGTGGAAACAATCTTGGGGGATACCTCCTCTCTTCTTGAACCTTGAGTTGAGCTCTCCTTGGGGAAATCTTCCCAAAAATCTGCCTGGAAGCCAAACCCTAACCTTCTTCTTCCCTTTTGTTCTATTTCTCTCACTAGAATGCTGAAGAAGGTGTTTCTAAAAAAACTGGGCTCTCCTCCTCTCTCCTCCTTTCAGCTCAGCTTTTAAACCCGAGAAGAGCTGAGTTCACGACCGTGAATCATCAAACACGTATGTGAACTCAAGTCGTGCGCCAAAACGCTCTGCATCGCTCATGTCCGTTCACGGACAACTGCTTGTGTTCACGGTCTTAGTAACCGTGAACTCACCTTGCGTCAGTAACCTTCACATTGGCTCTGGACGCCTCACGATTCGCGGTCAACTCCCCTTCTTCACGGTCTTGCATCACCTGTTCTCCCGGTTTTCGATTGTTTTCGCCAATCTTTATACTCCGAGGCTGGTTTCACCTGTTAAATCCTGAAACACACTCAAACACGAAGAACCTAGCGTAAAACCGACCTTTAAATAGCGAATTTGGCACAAACATCTAAGTAAAATGGGGGCAAAACATGTGCAATTAGACTCGAATCACTCCCCCACACTTAGACGTTTGCTTGTCCCAAACTAACCATTTCACGCACATGGTAATGTTTCAACCTACACAAATGCTTTAGGGACAACTCAAAGGACATGAAGCGGGAATTGTCGATGTTTATTGACAATCAACACATGAACCATTGCAAGCAATACCGACATCCACCACAAACAATATTCAAAGCCACCAAAACAGGCAAACGAAAAGTGCTCAACTTATTCATGGATAAATGCACAATCACTTATCGTCCACAACCAACCATGCATGAAATTCAAGTCCGAGGAACAAATGGAAAGGCAACGAAGGTCCTCACCGGGGTATGAAATGGTAAGTAAAACAAGAATGGATCACTCACTCTCAAGACCAGTGGGGTCGGGACCTTTTTGGTGCAAAAGATGTGCACAATCGTAACCTCTCGACCCTATCGTCTCAATACCACGGCGGTAACCTCTAAACGCTAGAGTTCACGGGATGGTTGTCACCACTAGCTCGTCCGGAGGTCTTAGACATGGGTTCAGATGACTGGAGATTGGCTTCGACATGGGGAAAATGCTTTTTGGGTGGTGGAAATCATGACGTGAGGCCCCTCCTCCGCAACCAGTACCGATTTGACTCCCTTTACAGCCGCCTTGACCTGGACCTCAATGTCTATTTTGTTCTGCGCCTCAAGTTTGGACAGGAGGTCCTTCACAGTCGAACTCTTTTGATCTCCACCCACTGTTTGTTTCGAGCTCCCTGGCCTCCCTTGCTTTTCTTCCCCTCCAAAGAACCCTTCTCAGCCTGCTCACCCTTCTCCTTTCCCTTCTGCCTCTCCCTCTCCTTCTCCCTGCCAGCACCAAATGTGCCCCTAGCAGGACGATCATCATTGCCCCCTCTAGTAGCACCCGATTCAGCACCTCTACCAGCAGCCTTCTTGTTGTGCTCACCAGTCCTACCCATCGTCCCCTGCATCCTCCTCCCAGCTTCTTCCCCTATCTTCTTAACCTCAGCAGAAGTTCCCCCTATCGCCTTTGAGAAGAAGCCAAGGGAAGCGCCAAAACAATGTGCCTAGTGCCCATTTCCTACCCCCGGTCCTTTCGCGCCGCATGCTTCTGATCCCAATCACCAGCAGTTTCTTTGCCACCATGGGTAGCTGGGTTAACCCACACCGAAGAAGGCATCCCAAACCCATGAGACGAGGTCAGAGCCTCCTCATTGATTCGATGACCTGATTCATCCGTCGTCATCTCTTGTCCGAAGTGTTGCTCCCCCTGTGGAGCCGGGTAGCCACAGTTCGCATCCGTATGCCCTAGTCTACCGCAATGGTAGCTGAATAGGGGCAAATGCTTGTAGACTAAGGTCACCCAGAATTTTCTAGCAACCGGGTTTGAGGCATACACCTGGGACCGCAGAGGTTTAGTGACATTGATCATCACTCGGACATTGATGAAGTAGCCAGGCATCCCCTTAAGTCCATAGAGGCCCGTATCCATCGGTTCTCCGAGCTTGCCTTTGTTGGGATGAATAGCTTTGAAAAGGTGTAATGAAATTCCTATTTAATTATCCCGTATTTTTCCATAATACGAAATTAAGATGGATAATTAATAAAAGGAATATTATGGAGATAATTAGGAATAATTATCTTAATAGATTATATTTTAATTGTGGGAGTAATTATCTCCCTAATTAAAATATGACTCATTCCCAAAGAAAGAGGGAATATTCTGGGTTTTCTGCTCCTATAAATAGGAGACGCCCTAGACCCTCTATATACACCTCAGAGAGCAGAAACACGAGAGAGAGTGAATTCATAGAGCTCCGGTTTTCGCACAAAATCGATGAGCATCAAAATTAGAATGGCTGTTTTATCCTGGAGGCGACCGGCTGATAGTCTGCTGTGCGAATAACGAGGCAGTGTCGCGAACGTCTTAAAGAGAGCGACCTAGTCCGCGACTCAGCCAGATCGGTAACCCTAATTTTTCTGTTCGGTTTCTAACAATTTTAAGACGATTGGTTGCTGTCATATGTACCGAACAGGATACCGATTATGGCTCAAGCAATTTTTCGTCGCCCAATGCTTTGCCGAATTCGTTGACGTCGTTGCGGACGGAGAAGAGGACACAGCCATCGCCTGATTTCTTTCGCTCCGGCCAGCTGCGAGAAAGGAAAATCCGAGAATTTGTCGAGAATCTTGGTGATTTCCTTGTTTTCAATCGAATCGGATATTGGGTTTCTGTCGAATGGCGATGATTCGCAGCGAGAGCTCAGCCCAGTCCGGAACCCACTACGAGATCCTCTCCATAAAAGAAGGTGCCACCTACGACGAATTACGCTGCGGCTACCGATCTGCAATCCTCAGCTCCCACCCCGACAAATCGCAGCAGAACACCACGGATTACTCCGCCACCGTCGACCGGAAATTCCTCAGAGTCCAGAGAGCATTGGAGA